GTCGGACGCTTAACCGACTGAGCCACCCAGGCGCCCCTGAATCTTGTTCTTAAAAGCATTGACACCTTGGGGCGCCTGGATGGCTCAGTGGGTTAAGCGTCCGACTTCGGCTCAGGTCATGATCTCGCAGTTCATGGGTTCTGGGTTCAAGCCCCACGACAGGCTCTGTGCTGACAGTTCAGAGCCTGGAGCCTGCTTCGGATTCTGTGTCTCCCTCTCGCTCTTTGCCCCTCCCCCATACACGCGCGCTCTCTCTCTCTGTCTCTCTGTCTCTCTCTCAAAAATAAGCTGTTTTTGAAAATGAAAAAAATAAAAGCATTGACACTTTAAAGGCACAGACCACACCATGGTGCGCAGGGTACCAGTCTGTTTAAAAATACTCAATTATTTTAGATACTATATGTTTGGTTCCAGTTTGAGCAGGTTCGGCAGCTATTGAAATTTTTTTTTTTTTTTTTTTTTTTTTTTTTTACTTAACCATGAAGCAAAAGAACATTAATATTTAGGTCTGGTTCAAGGTTTAACAAATTCATGTGGTTTGTTGCTGTTGGAGATTCATGATTCCACTTGGTTCAGCGTCCATGCCTGCGAGGCCCGCCTACCAGACCCTACCACTGCTTCATTAAGCTTCCTCAAACATTCTTAAAACTAAATCATTCATTTAATCAAAATCCTCCCATGGCTCCCCATTACCTTCAGGAAGAAGGATCCAAATGTCTCAGTTGGCCACAATCCGGCTCCAAAATGGAGTCCAGTCTCCAGCTAGGCCAGAGCCCTGAGAAACCCCAAACTGGCCATACTGGGTACTTCTTCCGAACCTGTGCTCAGATCTGTCTCCCTGCACGGAAGGTACGGCCTTCTGTTCTCTGCCTGTCCTAGCCTTTCCCAGTGCTCAAAGCTTCCACAGCCATGTCTCTAGTGTCTTCTTCAAGGACTCCGGTGCCCATTCATTAGCTTTTCCCCTGGACTCCCATAGCCTCAGACAGTCTGTTCCTCTTAGTTTGGCACTATGCATATGTCAGTAATTCAGTTAGTCACTTTGTCTAATGTTTATTGACAGCCTACTCAGCGCCGAGTACGGTGCTGGGTGCTGAAGCTACAACCAAGGTAGACGTAGCGCCTCCGTCTCAATTGTAACCTCTTGAGGGCGAGGGGCATCTCTTATACTTCTTTTGCGTCTCCCTCGCTGTCTAGCACAGTGGCAGAAACACCGCAAGTCATCAATAAATGTCTGTGAATGAGTAACTGAGTTCAAAGCCTGATTGTGGCATTGATCATGAGGTTGATTGCCCAATATGGGCTTTCACCCTCTTGCTCTCAACTTGCTGGGTGTGCCTGGAGAAAAAGAGAACCTCTCTGTTTCCATCCCCATTTAACAAAGCAGGAGGCAACAGATCTTGGCTAAAGCAGAAGGGCCTCCTTCTGCTCTTCCATAGGCGCCTGGAACCATCCACCAACTCTCGGTGGACAGGCAATGCCAATGGACAAGCTTGTGCATCTCTCACTGCATGTATTCTGTGTATGGGTCTAAGCTGCCCTCCCCCCAGCCCCTCTGGTAAGCCGAGTTCCTGAAGGGTAAGATTATGCTTTCCCCATACCTATTCTTCTCGAACAGTCCCTGGCACATAGTAGGGGCTCAATACAACTTTGTTGAAGCGGGGGAATGAATGAAAGTAAGCTGTCTT